TTACCAAATTAAACACAGAAGTGTTTCACTTTTCCTGGGCACTTTCCAACGTATCATATCCACTAAGTCGATTATCCAGTGACTAATTTTCCCTGTCCTTTTTGAGACCTTCTATCTTAAGATGATCATATCGTAAGGAGCACAAGTGCAACACAGACCCATAATTGTGTGGAATGGTGGAGTCCACCTGTCCCCATGCATGTGCCTTGAGAGTTGAGCTTTTTTTCCTTCTTTGTGTCCACTTACCAGGAGGTTTGAGGGCCTGATGCCCTCAAGAATATGGTTCACAAGCTGTCTCCTTGGGGTTCTTCTCCGTTATGGACCCAACCCACGATCTCCTGTGTACTCCAAGCAGACATCACAGGCAACATCTGACCTCTCTGACACCCCAGGCTTCCCTCCAGGATTTAACAGAGGGTATTTTTTAGGTTTTATAATTTCTTCCATGCTTGAGAACATCTGAACAAACATCTGGTGAGGTGGGTGAAGGGGGGAGTTGCAGAGAAGGCGGGAAGACAGCCATCAGTAAATGGTTGGAAGATCCAAACCCATGTTGCTACAGGGAGAACAATTGGTCTACAAAGTGTTTTATAGTTCTGGTACTTGCCATTGCCAGAAGCTGTTTTGGTTCTCCAAAGTGGCTGTGTCATTCTCCCATCGAGGCTCTGGAATTTCCCTTTGCCCTTCGGAAAGTTGTGGCAACACATTCCCCATCCAAGAAAGGGAGCTATCCATTTATAGGCTACTACCAGAGCTGGAAAAGCAGAGTGACTGAAAAGGTCACTGCTCCTTCAGCCCCAGAAGGTGTTTACAGCAAAGCAAGAAGCAAGGGGATGTGAAACCCTGCCAGGGGACTGCCATCCACTGCTCTGGCTCTGGCAGAAGATGCAGAGCATCAGCACCAAAGATGCCTCACCATCCCATAACCTTTAGTCCTACACACCTACCTCTGCCCCTCTCCAGCTCTGTCTCCACCTGGGAGCATCCCATGGAGTGACTCAGCCCCAAACCAGTGTTTTCTAACCCCGAACCAGACACCGCTCCTTCACACAAGGCTTTTGCATCCATTTCTTGAGGGACCACATGAATCAAAAACCACAACATGGCAGAGCTCATCCAGGCTTGTTCCAAAATAAAGCGGGGACCTGGAAACCATAAAGCCTGATGAAGTTAGAGTAGGAACAATCATATTCTGCTGTAATTTTTCGTCTCGCAGGAAACTCAGATAAAAGAAAGATTCAAAGTGACCACCTTCTGATGGAAATAGTGCAGGCTGGAAAAAAAAGTGCTTGTGCATCTCCATATGTAGTAGTGTCCTCTGCGTGACCTTAACAAAGAATATGCCTCATTTTCCTGACCTTGAAATATATATATCTTCTTAATGAAAGGCTTCGCCAATTAATCTGAAAATAATGACTGATTTCTATCTTCTCTTCACTTCCATTATCAGTGTAGTTAGGCACTATAAAAGGTCAACAATTCAGTTCTCCACTTGACTCCCAAACAATAGATTTTCTGCCGTTCCAAAATGATCTCTCATTTCTGCCCAACTTGAAATAACTTTTCTTCTGAAAACATTGGGGACTCAATAGAGAACTGAAAACAGTATCAGCAGAGTTTTATGGTTGGGTTTCTATTCTGCAAAATGTTAATTATATTTTTGCTCTTCTCCATGAAGACACGGTGGAGCATCTCGTACTGTCATGTGTCATAGCTTGAGCTGAGTAGAAATAAGGAGGGAAGTCCTTAGGGCAACCCTGGGAGCTAAATGTAGATGTACCAAAAGATTTTCAGAAGGCAGATGAGATAACAGATCGGGAATGACTATCAAGCAGCAGTAAGGGACGGAGTTGTATGAGACTTGACCATGTGTCAAGGTTCACTGATGGGCAGTGGAGGAGTTTATGCTCGTTGTAATTGCTCTGCACAGAAAGTGATGGGAGAGATGATGGGGATGATGTGTATTAATAGGTTTAAAAAGGTCTTAGTGGAAAAAAACACGTGTTTGTGAAATAAACCTCAACACGATGATACTGATCTTGATGGCCTTCTGGGCCTCTTTCCATCTGCTGCATTTCTGCTTCCTAAATTGGTCTCCCAAGAGCACAATTAAAAAAAAGAAACAACTTTTTCCTTCTCTAAAACTAGCCCTGCCATGGCTAAGCGAAAACCTTGCTGTTTGTATTAAGATTCCTCGGTGGACTATGAAGCAAGAAGAATACGGTTCCTTTTCTGGAGGGGATCCTTGCTTGCATTGTCTAAATGCTTCCCCCCAGAAAACCTCTTGACTGCTGGTTAGCAACAGTTTTATTAATAGGACTTATTTCAGGCTTAGTTATGTCTGGCTTATCATGCACAGAGTTATGTGCTTGATTGAGATACTATGGGTTTATAAAAAAAAAATTCCCTGAGATATGAAGCTGTGAATGACGTTAACAGCCCCAAGGGGTGCGTGAATCCCTCCTGGTGTCTCTGGTACAAAACCAACTTCATGTCATTGTTTAGACAAAGAGGACATTATCACTAGGGCTAAAGCTGATGCCACTGGTGTCCAGGTGATGATCCCCTAAAGCCAAGATGGCTAAAACAGCAGCAAAGCTGGTGTCACATTTCCTGTTTTTTATGGAAAAATTGTAATTCAGAAAAAATGTAATTCTTTGATGTCTTCAAAGAACATGTAGCACGGTCCACACATCAGGGTAGGAGACAACCGGAAAGTGATTAGTAGTCAGCAGCTTTGTCTCTCATATGGATTTGCATGAAATACCACCACTGAGTGTTGGTGCTGTGGATGCTTGGCACTCACAGGAATGTCCTTGCTGTAAAACCTCAGTTGCCAACAGAAAAAATGTCAGGGGAAACGCAATTCTTCTGAAGGGCCAGTATATTTAAAGCAAATAAACAAACAAACAAATTAAACCCCAATGGAAATCATCCTAGTCTACTTCCAAAGAACTGGAGAATGTAAAGCCACATCTGGAAAATCAAATTCTCGTTAAGTCTGTGAGCAGGTTTTGTAGCCTCCAGCTTTGGGTGGGGAGGGCTGAGCTCAGTGTGGGGTGATGCTGGTGTGGGGTGGAGTAAGTGCTAAGGGGCAGGAGTGGGTCTTGGCATTGGAGATACCTCTGGGGGCTTTCACTGCCTTGGATGTCCGTTGCATTAGAGCAGCAGAAGCAGAGCTGCCTTAGAGCATGGATGTGGGGTCACTGTTTGTGGCTGCAATTCACTGGGACTCATTTGCCTGCTGCTTGCCTTTGGCTGTCCCCATTTTTACAGCCTGTCCTCTGGGTCCCTCCTTCCTGGGGTCTCTGGGGTGGTCCTCACTGTCAGCTCAACCCTTGGTCTTGGTAAATGGAGATGGCTTTGGTTTTGTGTGTTCTACATCCTTCTGAGGGAGAGGGGAGGGAAAACAAAACTCCAGATGTCTTCAGTCTAAACATAGCCCAGGGTTCATTCCATCCATCTTCAGTGGTACCTTGTGGCCAGGTAAATGATGAGTCGCCTTTGCCTACAACCCCATGGTGGTATAAAAACCCCACGGTGGTATGTGCTGGGAGGGGAGAAAAGAGCAGCCACCACCACCCACACATCTCTGCAGCTTCCCGAGAGGAAGCATTGCCTGGGTGGTAGGTCTGGTCAAACCCTCTGCCACCACTTTGCCAGCTGTCACGCATGGTCCTACAGCTCTGGGTGGTGTTTTTATAGGGTCTGTGATTAGAGGTGAGGCAAACTCAACCCTTCTGCTCCAACCTTCCCTTTGATCCAGCTGTGGGAATTCGCAGTCATCTTTTTTAACTCTGGCACGGTTTCTCCTGATCTGTGATCTGCCAAAGGGCTAGTTCATGCTTTCTGGGTGGGACTCATCAGATCAGAAGAGAACATCTACATCTGTGCTAGTCACCTACACACTTTTAATCGTTATTGTAGAATCGATTGATCCACCCAGTGAAAAGGAGAACATAGAATCATAGAATCATAGAATAGTTTGAGTTGGAAGGGACCATGGAGGTCATCTAGTTCCAACCCCCCTGCAATGAGCAGGGACATCTTCCACTAGATCAGGTTGCCCAGATCCTCGTCCAACCTGACCTTAAATATTTTCTGGGTCAGGGCATCTACCACCTCCCTGGGCCACCTAACTCTTCTTCTCTCCAAGTACAGACCTAAAACAAGTCAAACCACACCCTAGAAGTGGTGTAAAGCAAATGTGGGGTGACTGACACATCTGGATGTCTACATCTAAGTGGAGCTGAGACGAATTCTTCCCCAAGAGCAATCCATCGTAGTGATTTCAATAAGAATTGCCAGCAGCTCTGGGCTTATTTCACCCCCTCTGGCTATTGATGCCTAAATAAACTCAATATGCAATTAGATTCAGTCAAATTCTCAGAGCTTGATATAATTAGACACACTGGGCATAAGGCTGCTGCTGACAATGCACCTGTATGAATGTGTTCCCTGATGGGTATTTATTTCTAATTAAAGATACAGGGATTTGGGATAGGACTCAATCTAGATGGTGACAGTCTTCATGACAAAGATGTGTTTTGACCCCTCCATGTGTTAGGAAAGTGAAGAGCATTGCTATTCTTTTTTGGGGGGTCCTTTCTTACATTCTTTGAATGTTTCCTTCCAGACAGCCTCTTGACTGATGCTTAGGTAGCTATTCTATTAATTAGATTTAATTCAAGATAAATCAAAACCAAGAATTGCAACCAAAGTGGTAACCCCCTGAATTCACACATGAATGGACAAAGGGAATCTTCAGCCTTGTGGTGGGGGCAGAGGTCCTGAAGGGGAGGCTGTTGAATAGGGAAGGTAGAGGAGAAAAGAAGAAGAATCTACTGGCTCTTTAAAACTATTTTTCTTGAATTTACAAGTCGGTATTTTTCATGGACTTCAGAAGCACCCAGAACCATACCACAGAGACCAACTCACTGCTTTTCTTATCTACTTCATTTTTCTGTTTTTATCTGGCTTTTATTCTTTGTCTCTTACAGGTTGAATTCACCCCTGATCAGATTGAAGGTGAGGAAGATGTGTTTCTCTTCTGTGCACAGTAAATACCATCCCTGGGAGGTGCTGGCGAGTGCTGGGGTAGACACGGGGGTGGTAGTGGAGCTCCCTTGGGAAGGGATGTGACTCCTGTGCTTTAATTCATGGCTTTGCTCCTGCTCCGTCCCTCCTCCCAATCCTCTGTTGAGTTGGTTAAGAGAAACAGGGAAACGTCATGCACTATGCAGATGAGGTACTTATTTCATTAAAGAAAACACCAGCTTCTCTGCCAATGAGGCAAAATGAAAAAAAAAGAAGAAAAAACCCCGCACACCACCAAAATCTCAGTCCAAATGTACTTTCTTTAAGAAAACCCACTAACAATATATCAGTCCCTTCAAGAGAAAGTCTCACAACTCTGCTTTTGAGAACTTGTATTCAATCAGAATTTAATGTGCTACAGTTCTGTGACAGCTCTCCAGCAACCAGCAAATAATGACAGTGATATTTTTTTTCCTTTCAAAACAAAACACCATTAATTTCTGAACCCCACGTCCCAGCCCAAGAAACTGATACTGAAACCTCATGCATGAAGTCCTGGAACCGCCGCCGCTGCAGCTGTCCCCTTTGTCCTCAATTACCAGCTTGCTTTTTACTTCAGGGGATAATTGATAGATGCAGTCCAACATCTGGCAGAATTTTGCTTTAGTCTTTAAACACTTGGCAGAAATTGGTAGAGCCTATGAAAGACGGTATCTGAAAATATGTTAATTACAACAGATGAAAAAAACAATCACAGGCTATGCAGTCAGGCTGATTCAGAGAGAAGAGGTACAGAAAGAAGGATTTTCTGAACTGGAACCAAATGCCATAACATCTTAGAGATTGAGGCTTTGCCACAGATTTCCAATATTACCTTGGGATTTTTCAGCTCCCCAC